TGTCATCGTAGTTTGACAACTGATGTTTTGATTTCTGTTCTTTAAGGCTTTCCTAACTTGTTCTGTTTTCGCCAAGAGTTGCTTGAGAGCTGGTTACTTAACAACTGCTTGCTAAAAAAGAAAAGGAGGATGGGATGGTATCCTAGATGTTAAACAATGTTCATCGTGTCAGAGGCACGGAAACTTGGGCCTGATGTTTCTTTTACTCAGCTTTAATTTTTTTCTAATTTTTATTTTAATGAAAACAGTACAAAAAAGGGAACAATAGCAAAATACAAACAAAACAATGCAAGGACATTAAAAATGATACAGGGTTTCAAACCAAATGATAGGGATTAACAGTGGTTTTTATATTACATATTGTTATCTTCAAAGAAGTTGCTCAGGTTACCAGACGTAAGAGTAGAAGACTGATCAAATCATTAAAGGTGTCTGATGGTTTGTTGAGGGGAACAGTTAATGATTAAAAGTTTTTGTTTATGTTCAGCTTTAATTTTTACTTAATGCTCTAGTATACCTTGTAAGTGTATCAAAGCATATATCACATAACATTACCATTTTATCCCTTTTATGTCCGTACAGCTCTGCAGCATTAAATGAATCCACGTTTTTGGGTTACTTCAGTATACTTTTCCCTGAAATTATTACATGGAAATAATTTAACATTTTCATGAATGAGAGCCAAAGCTGTGTTTGCACCAAATAAGCAGATTTTCCCTAGCTTATGAGTGTGCTGTAAAGAAAATGATTTGTTTGTTGAGTTTCACTAAGGAATTTGGAGCATTTCTAATCTTCTTGGGCTCAGAGAGAAACATGTCAGTGGGGATTAATGGAAACAGGTTTATTAATTTAGCTGATGTGAGTAAATTTTTACAATTTTAGTTTAATAAAGTATTTAAAGAGCTAAAACACTTTACTGTTACAGAAGAGAGAGTCTCATTTAATTATGATTGGTATCTTATTCTTAAGCAACAATGTTGTAGAAAATAATGAAGAAAATCCCCAATATTTGGCCTTTGGTTTATATTTCAAAATGACTTCTAAGATTAAAAATGAGCCTATCACATGAGAATAGATAGAAATTGTCTTTGGGATCTGAATACTTCTTTTTTTAATTTTAAAAATAAAAGGAGGAAAACATTAACAGACAGACAACCTTTTACAAAATAGCAAAAGAACAGTACAGACAATACAGAGCTACAAACAAAGTGGTAGGAAATTAATGTGTGTTATATTACATATTGATATCTTCAAAGTGGTTTCTCATGAAAACAGAGACATGCAATATTGATCAATCAAGGACTCATTGACAGTTTCTTTCAGCAAAGAAATAGAAGACAGTAGAACAACTATATTAACTATCCTGTGTATACATACATACAAAATTTCTCCTTCTTTCCTTTCTCTTTTCCCACATCCCAGTTGCCCTTTACCATTGAGTGTTTTCCTATCTCACAATGTCTATCATGCCTCCTAATTTAAATTAACTCTTTTATACTAATGAGACAATGTGGTGCTTGCACATGCAAGTCTGATTTATTTCATTTATGAGTATGGTCTCTAGTTGTGACCATTTACCTATAAAGGCCTCGAGTTTATCTTTTTTTGTAGCTGAGTAAGATTCCATTATATAAAAGTACCACAATTTCCTTATCCAATCCTTGGTGGATCTGAATACTTTAGAAATATTGCATATAGGCAAATCGATGTCTTGTGTTGTTTTAATGAAAGAATAACACGTGTATGTCTTACTTTAGTGAATTTTGAAACTGCTCTTAATTCTGGTGATTAAACATTTTACAAGGTATTTATTTAAGAATACAGTAGATTGAAATGTGAAGTGCTATCTGGAATGTTCAGGATCATTCAAGTTCCTTTTTTTTTATTTGAACTTGTTTAAATGACCCCTTCATGGGAGGTGATAACTTGGAAACCTCAGCATGGAATGTAGGACTGGCTGGCTCCATACCTGAGCACTCCTTGTGCCGCATAGGACACGAGGCTGACCTGGGGTTTCAAGCACAGAGTGTCACAGCACAGAGCTCAGCCCTGGGGACTGGAGCTTGGTTTGTTGTTCCTGTTCCAAGAGAAGCGCAAAAGATAGGGCAAGGGGCAGGGGAGGGGTCTTCGGCCTCTTGTCTTGGTTCAGAGTGAGGACATTTAGCTTTGAAAAACTGAAAGGTCCTCCTACTTTATAAAAGTCTGCTGGATAGGTGTTTGTCAGGACCATCGGAGCCTGTCCAGTTGTCTGCTTAGCCGGACCTGAGACGAGTGCGTCTGAGCTGACAACAAGCCTGGCTTCTCTTGGAACGTGCCCACAGCATCGCTCCCATCCCTTCCTCATTCTTCCTGTATTTATCAACAATGGAGACCTGTAACTGATTCTTTAACTGTTTTCAACCTTCACCACTCTTTTCTCCCTGCAAACCTGCCGAGACCTCTCCGAGGGGGCGCAGGAGTGGGGGTCAGGCTCTGGCAAACAGATCGTGGCCATGAAGAAGGCCCAAAGGTTTGGGACACCCACCCTCCGTTCCCTGGAACCCCATCTTCACCTCCCCTCTGAGCCTGCCAAAGCCAGTGGTAGCATGAACGTGGAAAGCGACTGCTGTCTGAGTCGGAAATTTTCCTTCACTGTGGCAGAACTACAGGGACACTGGAGTCCTGAACCTTTTCCAGCATGTTTTAATATACACAATCTTGGCACTCGGCATCAGCAGACAAGCTGATTACTTGTTCGCACATGCTTTGGCCAGGTTTTTGCTCATTTGGGGCCTTGTAATAACTTTGGATGTTGTCCTCTATGAGACGACAACTTAAGAATCATGTCTTTCTCCTGATTCCAGGTTTTAAGGCATTTTGGGATAAGTTTTCTAATCTTGTAGAAATTGCAGGTCAAGGCAGGATATAAACATTATAGGGCAGGTAGATACTTTTGCAGGCTGGATAAAAAGTATTTGTCTCTCAACTGAAGGCTTCTTTTACTAGGAGAAGCCTTGATTTAAGAAGATATCGTCACAAAGCGGAGAGGATGAGAGGGAAGCTGTCGATGGTGGTGGTAGACACATGGGACACAGAAATCTAATTTCCCGTTTTAGGCTTGTGAGGAACTACCGGGGGTTTTACAGCTCTGCTGACAAGAATTCTATTTGGAACAGGATCTTCTTACACAAAAATCATTTTAATGTGAAAGCTCTTGGCATAAGAGACAAGTCAAACGGCTGGCTTTAAAGGTGGAGTCGCAGCCTTCTTTGCCGTCATATTCAGTCTCCGTCTTTATTTTACCGGGTGGGTGAACCCCACTCCAACCTTCGTGTTAGGTGCCTGCCTTGGGGGTGTGCAAGAATGTGCAAAATCTGTGACCCTGCTGCACTGTGGGATTGTGACAGATTAAATGGGTTCTAACAGAGCATATGCGTATAAGCAGCTGAGGAGTTGTGGTTGTTTTTTAACCTGAGGGTGAGGAAATTGACCACTATGTGATAATTAAAAATAGCAATTCCCTGAGAAAGCAGGAGCTAAGTTGCCAAATGCCAGGCCACAGAGAAGCAATATTCTGTACTCTGAATTGGGTAATTTATGTCTTTGTCACTTGGAGATCTGACGCACATTTGAGTCAGTGAATCACCCACCAGCACCGCAGAACTAAAGCAAATTTTGTTTCCTTTTCATAGGCAGGATTTTAGTCAATTAAATAATAAATCTCTTGCTTTTCCTGAATCATACCACAGGAAGGCCCTGGTAAGTGCGCCTCTGGGAAGAGACTGCCCGCGGTGAGGTTTACCAGTGGTACTGCATCTTCGGTGCACCATTGATGGTCTGCCTTTGGTACTCAGAAGTCCAGAATGAGTTCAGTTTTTGTGGCTTCCCAGACCTGGCCAGTGTCTGCCTGTGGTCTCCCAGTGATGGTCCTAGGCAGGTGACATACTCTTCTTCCTGCCCAAGAGTGGCCTTGCACACACTAACTTTACAAAGAACAGGCAGGAGCATTTTCTCTTTTGATTTGTGCAGTAACAATGTATTATTTATGCAGATTACTAATTTCTGTTTGAAAAGCTGAAGCTAAGATGCAGCGACGTTAAGTGACTTCCCAAGGTCACAGCTCCAGTGAGTGGAATAATAGCAATTTGAGCTAGTTACTTCTTAAATGGGTTCATATTAGTCTCACGGAGTAGTAGTTTATTTCGGCATGTTTGTACATGCATATAACCTATTTTTATCTCTGCACCCTGCCTCCTCACCCCTCCCTTATGCCTTTCTTTGAGACAAGGTCCCAATCCTGGGATCCTTTTGACCTGGTCCCAATCCCCTCTGTAGACACCATACTGTCTCTTTGGAATGCTGATAGATTCGGGCGCTCTAAGTGTCCATTAAGATGCTCTGGGGAAATGTGTTTGGGAGAGAATAATTTGAATTGGTAATGTGGTTGGGAGCATTATTAAAATGAGTAAAAGGTCTAAAGAAATATGCAACTTGAAGTGGCATCTGTCAGATGTTCAGTGTAAAGGAATTGACAGTACCAGATACTGTGGTCAGTCCAAGGCTGAGAGGAAACCCATCCTGGTGTATTTTGAGCATTCAGAAGACCGGGCCTGGATTTTGCAAGGGCCGTGGGTGAGGGACCAGACTCACTGAGGAAGCACAGCACCACCTAGCATGTTTCACCTGTGTGCGACCTGCTGGCCTCAACAGGCGACATTTGATGTCCTGTAGGAGGGGTTCCTGAGAAATCCACAGGAATAAACAAATACCAGAAATGCATGCTTAATACTTTCTTTCATTGAAATGACACATGGACATTTGCAAAACAAATTTCTTTCGGCCTGGTCATAACAAATCTGTTAGGAGTGCCTCTTTTCTGACAGAGTGAAGGGTAAATTTTAGCCTGCCCTCTGTTCACATAACCACCATCTCCCAGTGGTGTCTCAGAAGTCCCTGGAGTGTTTCTGTGTGTGTCTAGTTTCTAAATGAGCTTGATTCATTGTTCGCCAATTACTTTACAGGACCCTTCAAACCAGAAATGTGGCGGGAGGAAGAAGACCGTGTCTTTCAGCAGCATGCCCTCAGAGAAGAAGATCAGCAGCGCCCACGACTGCATCAGCTTCATGCAGGCCGGTTGCGAGCTAAAGAAGGTGCGGCCCAACTCACGCATCTACAACCGCTTCTTCACCCTGGACACTGACCTCCAGGCCCTTCGCTGGGAGCCCTCCAAGAAAGACCAGGAGAAGGCCAAGCTGGACATTGCAGACATCAAGGAGGTCCGGCTGGGGAAGAGCACAGAAACCTTCAGGAACAATGGGCTTGCGGACCAGATCTGCGAGGACTGTGCCTTTTCCATACTCCATGGGGAAAACTATGAGTCTCTGGACCTGGTGGCCAACTCCGCTGATGTCGCCAACATCTGGGTGTCTGGACTGCGTTACCTGGTGTCTCGTAGTAAACAACCCCTGGATTTTATGGAGGGCAACCAGAACACCCCACGGTTCTTGTGGTTGAAAACAATGTTTGAAGCCGCAGATGTTGATGGGAATGGGATTATGTTGGAAGACACCGCTGTCGAGTTAATAAAACAACTCAACCCTACCCTGAAGGAATCCAAGATCAGGTTAAAGTTTAAAGAAATCCAGAAGAGCAAAGAAAAATTAACCACCCGAGTGACCGAAGAGGAGTTTTGTGAAGCTTTTTGTGAACTTTGCACTCGGCCAGAAGTGTACTTCTTACTTGTGCAGATATCAAAAAACAAAGAATATTTGGATGCCGATGACCTCATGCTGTTTTTGGAAGCGGAGCAAGGGGTCGCCCACATCACTGAGGGGATGTGCTTGGACATCATCAGGAGGTTCGAGCTTTCTGAGGAAGGGCGGCAGAAGGGGTTTCTTGCCATCGATGGCTTTACTCAGTACTTACTGTCACCAGAATGTGACATTTTTGATCCCGAGCAAAAGAAGGTTGCCCAAGATATGAGCCAGCCCTTGTCTCACTACTACATCAATGCCTCCCATAACACCTACCTAATAGAAGACCAGTTCCGGGGCCCGGCTGATGTCAATGGCTACGTGAGAGCTTTGAAAATGGGCTGTCGCAGCGTTGAACTGGACGTAAGCGATGGTCCAGATAACGAACCGATCCTTTGCAATCGAAATAACATGAGCACACCCCTGTCCTTCCAGAGTGTCCTGGAGGTGATTAATAAATTTGCCTTCGTTGCTTCCGAGTACCCGCTCATCCTCTGCCTGGGGAACCACTGCTCCCTGTTGCAGCAGAAGGTCATGGCGCAACAGATGGAGAAGGTCTTCGGCGATCAACTCTACACGGAAGCCCCCTTGCCGTCCGAATCCTACCTCCCGTCACCAGAAAAATTGAAAAGGATGATTATCGTGAAGGGAAAGAAGCTGCCTTCTGACTCAGACGCACTGGAAGGAGAAGTCACAGATGAAGATGAAGAGGCCGAAATGTCTCGCCGGATGTCTGTCGATGACAGTGGTGAGCAGAAACACATATGGCTGTGTCGTGAGCTGTCTGATTTGGTATCCATTTGTAAATCTGTTCAGTACAGGGACTTTGAACTGTCTATGAAAAGCCAGAACTATTGGGAAGTTTGTTCATTTAGTGAAACAGAGGCCAGCCGGATTGCGAATGAATACCCAGAAGATTTTGTGAATTATAATAAGAAGTTTTTATCAAGGGTCTACCCAAGTGCCATGCGGATTGACTCCAGTAACTTGAACCCACAGGACTTTTGGAATTGTGGCTGTCAGATTGTGGCAATGAATTTTCAGACTCCGGGTCCGATGATGGACCTGCACACGGGCTGGTTCCTTCAGAATGGGGGCTGTGGCTATGTTCTGCGGCCATCCGTCATGCGGGATGAAGTTTCCTACTTCAGCGCCAACACGAAGGGCGTCGTGCCTGGCGTGTCTCCTCTGGCCCTGCACATCAAGATCATCAGTGGGCAGAATTTCCCAAAGCCCAAGGGAGCGTGTGCCAAAGGAGATGTCATCGATCCCTACGTGTGCGTGGAAATACACGGAATCCCGGCTGACTGTGCCGAGCAAAGAACTAAAACTGTGCAGCAAAACAGCGATAATCCTATTTTTGATGAAACTTTCGAGTTCCAAGTAAACCTTCCCGAGCTGGCCATGATCCGCTTTGTGGTTCTGGATGATGACTACATCGGGGATGAGTTTATAGGGCAGTACACCATCCCGTTTGAATGCCTGCAGCCCGGGTACCGGCACATTCCCCTGCGCTCCTTCGTGGGCGACATTATGGAGCATGTGACCCTGTTTGTCCACGTAGCGATCACGAATCGGAGTGGCGGGGGGAAGGGGCAGAAGCGCAGCCTCTCTGTGCGGATGGGGAAGAAGGTCCGGGAGTACACCATGCTCAGGAGCATCGGCCTCAAAACCATCGATGATGTCTTCAAGATAGCAGCTCATCCCTTACGGGAAGCCATCGAGATGAGAGAAAACATGCAGGTAGGAGAGCAAGCCCCACCCCCCCACCAGGGTGCCGTGTCATGTGAATGATCCGGCTCGTGAGATGTGCTCACGTGTGCTGTGTGGATGACAGATTGTGGACGTGTGTCGGGTGCTGCCTGTGACAGTGCTGATGTGTTTTGTTTCTAATTGTGAGCACCACGGCTAGTTCAGCCTCACCTGAGCCAGTCAAATGGAGAATCAACTAGTAAAATGCTGTGTCTCCAATAAACATCCTTAGTGCATAGCAGAACTGATCTACGTGCACACGGATGGAGTGATGTGAAGTAGCATGAAAATATGTGTAACAAAAAGTGTGTTCAAACATACTAAGTATAGGTGTACATGTAAACATTTGCAGAGAAGAGTATAGAGGGAAATTTGACATCAAAGCAAATGTAATAGCTGTTAAGCTTATTTTTTAGTTGTTTAAATGTGTAATAATAAATTAGGACCTATGAGAACAAACAAAATTAAACAAAATTCAACAGTTAAATTTGCTGGAAATTATTCAGCCTTCTCTTATAAACGTGGTTGAGATGAGAGGACGCAGGTTCTGGGTTCATCCCGGCTGTCTGTGTTCTGGAGTGCGTTAGTGCTGGTCTCCAGTCGCATCGGTGTGTTCCACACGAGGTAGGAAAAGTGGTTACACTTGCACCACAGGGGCAGTGCGCGCGTTGGTGAGTGTGTGTGCGTGTGCCCTGCTGGCCGTGCAGAAGTCCAGGGTCAGTGTCCTTCTGTGCCTGAATTCGTATGCCCGCTGCTGGCACCTTCCCACAGGTGCGGGCCAAGGCTGCCAAGCCACAGCCAGCCAGCAAGCACTGACCACATCTCTGCACAGTGCAGAGCGAACATGACCCAGTTCACCGTGTTGCTTTAGCCAGTGTGTTCTGGAGTGGTCCTCTGCAGAGACCCCTACTTTCGAGACACCAGATAAACTTGTGGAGGTTCAGTCATTTGTCTGATGTTGCAGGGGATAAGTATCAGCATTAAACTTTCAGTCTAGGAGCACCTAACACCAAAGCCTGGGGTCTTTCGCATGGTTCAGAGCCACAAACCCCTGACTTACGGAAAACTTTTTAATTTTGTCACCTCAACAGAGAAATACTGGAATAGGCTTAAAATAGATTTCAGATAGCCCAAATGGTAGAAAACAGTCGTGTACATACATCACAGTTGGATTGTAACTACCTGTTTTGAGGTGTGTTGCCTTAACTGCTATAGGCTCCAAATAGCCGCATTTTCTATGTGGCATTTTCTGATACCATTTTTGCACAACTGGGCATCCTTAGATTACTTAGACATCATTTCTATACATGACTTTGTACAGTACATTTTATATATTTCTTTAAATGTATGCTTTATATCTCTTATATGTTTAGAATACACATTAAGAAGAGCTGGGTGTAAGGTGTTCCCAGGAAGCATTCCTAATTTATATATCTTAACAGAAAGTATTTTGGGCTAAGGGTGATGTGGAGCCTAATCATTGGAAAAATGAATACAATCACTGTGATTCAATTAATGAGACACTCAGTAGCTCCTGTTCACTGTTAATAAAGTGGAAAATAGTCGTCACTCCTGTTGAAAATGATTTCTTAGACTGTGGCATGGACAAACGCAGCTCTGCATGAGACACGTTTTCAGTGTGTGTGTGTGTGTGTGTGTGTGTGCGTGCACCTGCGTGTGTGGTGTTTTGGGGGTGATGAGGTACTGCCGCCCATCGGTGGGCTGGGGCACAGGGTGAGCAGCCGCTCCCGGGCAGTGCCTGAGGGAGGAGGCGCCTTCCAGGCCCCCTGGTGCACAGATGGGTCGGTGAGATTCCAAGCGCCCACTGCAGCTGCTGCGCTGCCCGCTCTGCTCTGGGACCTTGGTCTCCACCACTCCGCTCGGGTGCACGTGGCTGAGGTAGAGGCTGAAGGAGTCGTGGTGTCATCCTTGCGTGGTCTCGGTGCCCCAGTGCATTGGCGTGGCTGGGTCCAGTGTGCTCCTCTGAGGGAGCCCCGCAGCGGGCTCTGCCTGGCATGCCTGTGTGCCAGGCCGGGTGCCGGCCGTGTGCAGCGTGTGACTGTGCTCTCCGCCCCAGAACGCCGTAGTGTCCGTGAAGGAGCTGTGCGGGCTGCCGCCCATCGCCAGCCTGAAGCAGTGCCTGCTCACGCTGTCCTCGAGGCTCATCACCGGCGACAACAGCCCCTCCGTCTCCCTGGTGATGAGAGACACCTTCCCGTACCTGGAACCTCTGGGCACCGTTCCTGACGTGCAGAAGAGGATGCTGGCTGCTTATGACCTGGTAGGAAACGTGGCCCGTGGGTGTTGTCTGTGTGCGTGCACTGTCCCAGTGTCAGGGCCCTGTGTGGAGGCCTGGGGACCTGCACAGAGCCGTCGCTGCTAGCAGGGCCCACTCAGCTCTGCCTGTTAATCAGTAAGAAGAAGGATGCGGGGATTCTTATAGCCACTGCATGCAACTGTTCATGGATGGCAAAGCGTTATTCTTCCCCATAGAAATCTGCGCGCCATCGTCCAGGGGAGTATTGGGCAGATGCTTGGGAAGCCAGGCTCCTTGTTCTCTGCTTCCCTCCACAGCAGGGCCCTTATGCTCATGGCCTGTGCTTGCTGCCAAGGATCCAGCCATAACATCTGTGTTCTGACTGTCCGGAACCTTGAGAGGAGGAGGACATGCCTTTTTGCTTTGGGGACTTTCTCAAAGTAATTAGATTGCTTTGCTTATATTCCATCATCTGGAATTGACGCATAGCCTTGCTGAGTGGCAAAGGAGTGGAGGTGTCTTGTTGGAGGGATATAAGCTCAGCGCTGTCCCTTCTGTTACGTGAAATAGAGAAGGGGTGAGACATAAACAGAGGTGACCACAGGGGACCAGGGAACTTGCCCTTCCCCCTTCAGAAAACATAAAGATGTACAACATATTTAATCTGAGAGCATGTTTTTAATTAGAGGGAGGGCGGCAGTGCGGTGGGCCAGGAGCATGTGCTGCCCCACCTGAGCCGCACGCGAGGCAGAGGCTCACGGGGCGCTGGGCTTGGCCGCATGGCAAGGCCCATCTCTAGCAAAGTCCAAAGAAAGGTGTGAACACCCCTCTTCCTGGCACCCTGACACCGGCCTTTCCCTTTGCAGTGTGGCTCCTCTGATGCAGCATATAAGGGAAGTGGGGCGCTCATCCACCTGCCTCCAGTGGGAAAACAAATGGTACATACGTATGTGTACATTTATCTATATATACGAGAAAATGATGATATAGGTTAAAATATTTATTAATTGGCTCTGTGTATTTCCTTTCTTAGGACTTAATTCTAAGATAACAGAGGTGTGAATATTTACTTTTAATAATGCCAACAGGGACGTGTCAGGTCAGTCCAGTGTAATAATCCACGTACTCTGCTGAAGTCATACACACAGCACTGGAGAGGTGTGTGTGACACGGAGAGGCGCTGTGACGTGTTTTGGGAAGGCGCTGCGGTCCGGGCCGAGGCACAGCGGGGCTGGATTTGTGTTTCCGCGCGTGTGGCACCGGTGCGCTGCTTCTGTGTGAGGAGAGGGAGGAGGCCGCGTTTCTCTCCTCTCAGTGTGCTCTGTGCTTGCCAAACTCTACAGTGAATCTGCCGGTCCTGTGACTAACGAGACGCTAAGGAAGGAAAACCGAACACGCCATTGAAAGCTGCGGGCCAAGAGCGTGGGGCAGGTGCCCCGCGGCGGCTTCCCGAGGGCCCGGGCTGCGCTGCATGGTGCGGGGAAAGTTCACCCTGGGCCTGAGCCTCAATTTTCATGAAATCAATTTTTTCATCATAAAAGCGGGCCTTGAAAGCTGTTCAGTGAATAGGTATAATTGCCATCTAAGAGGTGAAATTAGGGTCCCAGTTGCCATAGAGACAGCGAAATCACTTCTTCCTCGTGTGCTGAAAAGCACCTGCTGGCATGGTCCTCGGGCCTTAATAAGCTCCCGGCGTGCAGGCCGTTCCGCTCACATCGCTGGTGGTGCTTTGTCCTGTCCTGCGGCTGCCACCGCCGAAGCCGTGCTCGCCTTTGTCTCCTCTGCGTTGTTAGGTGCGACAGGCAGGCAGAACGCGGTTTTCCAAAATTTAAAATGGGCTGCTGTGGCTGGCGGAAATCCTTCAGACGAGGCCTGGATTTCAGGTTCCCCACACAAACGAGCTCTCACACTGGTAGGGAGGGAGGGTGCCGTCCCTGCATCCCAGGCTGCGCCCCGTGGACAGGACGCTGGTGTGCTGCTGCTGAGCGTTCCTCTGGGGTGGGTTCTGGGGAGACCGCTCTGGGGGGGGATCTCCGTGTTCACGGTTCAGGGTCTGTATTTGTTGAGGTCTTTAGCGCTTGTGGTGAAGGTGTTTATTTTAAAGGTGTTTATTTTAAAGAGCTAGAGCTACTAGCCAGAGCTACTCTGCAGATCCAGGGGATTGTATGAAAAGAGACGGACAGATCCTGTCACTTTCCTCGCACCAGGAAAAGCTGTCTTCATCAAGAAACCAGACCATAACGGGAGCTGGCAAGGCTGTGGGACAGAGCAGCCCCTGCACTGCTGCTGGGATGTGAACTGGTGCACCACTGTGGAGACGCGGGCGGGGACTTCTCAGAACACTAAAACTGGAGACTCCAGCCAAGCCAGCTCTTCCCCTCCTACGTGTCTTCCCGAAGCAGTCAAAGTCATCCTGTTACACAGATACACACACACCCACGTTTACAGCAGCACAACTCGAATAGCCAAATCTTGGAAGTGGTCTGTGTGTCCATCAACAAAAAACGTGATGCACGCACGGTGGAGCACTACCCTGCCCTCAGGAAGGACGAATCTGAGTCATTTGCAGGCAAACTACTGGGGCAGCAGAGAAGTCAGTCATCGTCGGGCGGGGGCCGGGGTGGTGAGCAGGAGGCGCGGAGAGGCCGGGCAGGGGCTTTGCTGTTTCATCACGTCCTCCTCAGAACTCGCAGAGTCCATCCTGATGCACACTGTGGACTTAGCCGGCAGTACTGCAGCAGTGCTGGCTGCTCGATGGTGGTGAGCACTGTCAGTAGCGGGACAGGCGGGGCGGCACAGGCCCCTGTGGGACCCCTCTGTACTTGCCACTCAGCTTTTATGTCACTTCGAGTTTCTCATAAAAGCAATCTAAAACCTCCAACAGTTTCATTGTGAATGAAGTGCATTTGGGGGCCGGACGGATGAACAGCCCGGGGCTCGGGGCTCGTGGCCAGGGGCTCCCCAGGGCACAGCGCGGGCTGCACATGGTCCGTGTTCCTGCAGTGCTCGAGCGGCACAGATATCGGCAAGCGGAAGGAGTGCGGCCACGGCAGAGCTGCGGACTCTCTTCGGGACGAACAGCAACTCGAGAGCCTTCCTCAGCAGAGAGCTTGGCCCGTTGTCCCAGTGTCACAGACACAGTCCATGCGAACCCGTTGCCTACGTCTACTGAGGATCCACTCGCGGCCCAGAGGTGCACTGCGCTGCTCACCAAGGGAGAGGACACGGTCTTGAAAATATTGGTCCTGAGTTTGTCGGTGCAGGTGTTTTGTAGCTCATGCCAATGACCTGAGGTAGCCACTACCAAATACTTAATCAACCAATAGCTAGAAATTTCTTCTGGTCTAAAACTCATTTTAAGATTAGTGGTGCAGCTTCAGTTCTGTTCCAGCAGGCTGTGTTTCTATCAATAATGCGAAGCCTTGCTGGGCATGGTGGCACACGCCTGTAATCCCAGCACTCGGGAGGCTGAGGCAGGAGGATCGTTGCAAGTTCGAGACCAGCCTGGGCTACAAAGTGAGCTCAAGGGCAGCCTGAACTGCACAGCGAGACCCTGTCTCAAAAAAAGCACAAACAAACAAACAAACAAGCCTGGTGTTGTGTAGCAGAACAGGCTATTTGTGTGGCTCTGTCAGAGATGGCCGGAGGACACAGTCCTTCTGCCCACCCCACACAGCTTGTGCCTGTCTGTTCCTGGCTACTTAGGATTTCAAAACTGCAACCAAGTCCTTCGGATCCAGACTTTTCTCTCTTTTAAAATGTGAAAGCATCTCTGAGCCGTGAGGTTCCAGCTCACTCCCTTCAGGCTTCTGCGTGAACCGAGTGGAGGCTGTGCGTCTGGGCCCTTCCTGCCCAGAGACACATGGGCCCCAGGGTGGGGGAGGCAGGTGAGATGTGCTTGGACGTAGTCCTGTCCTCAGTCCCCACAATGCCAGGAAGAGGGCTGTGTCCTACTGAGAGCGGTGACTGAAGAAGAGGCGATGGCTGCAGAGGGACAGTGTCGCCTCGAGGCTGGAGGTGGGTGTGTGCAGCCCCTGGGAAGACACCCACAGATGGACCCTCCTGGCCTGGCTCAGGACAGCACAGGCCAGGGACGTGGAGGAGGAGCTGACAGCTCTGCTCCAGCCATGACGAAGAGGGGCAGTGGGGACCCCAGACTCCGAGGGTGAGCACCGGGACACTTCTTCAGGACTGTTCCTGGACCATGATTGGAACCTGGAGGGCCATTTCTGAGTCCCTTGTCCCTTTACGGCCCTGTGATTTTTAAGGTTTTTTTGTTTGTTTGACTCAGGTTTCTGAGAGACCAAGCAGAGCTTCCACTCACTGCAAGCTCATTTTCTCTAGAAAAATCCCCACGGCGTGGAGAGACACGGAGAGCACGGTCTCTACTATCAGTGCCAAGTAATTATAGACTGCAAATCAAGTGAGAATGTGTGTTTGGGGCTAGTCTTTGGGGGTGGTTAAGATGAAAGCTGGTTTTTGTAGGTGTTGCCCAGCGTGGGACGGAGAGCGGCGACGTGCAGCGTGAAATTTTAGAGGGACTTGGGGACCCCTGTGTCCCGCTGCAGTGTTGCATCTGCTGGCCCGTGGCCCCCGAGCTCACGCATGCAGGGGTGACACTGAGTCCAGCAGCCCCACGCCCGTGGCCAGAGACCGAGGATGGTGTAGCACAGTGCGGAAGCCGTGGGCAGCGCCTTGTCATTTCAGTGGACACTGTCACAGTGTGAACGTGTTTAACTTGTTCCATCCTACACTAGTGTTTTTAGGCACGTAGCTTTAGTCTTGTTTTCAGAGCACACCTTTAACCCCGGTCATGACGGTTCACTCTAGTTACATCTCCACACTGGATGGCTGGACACCACCTCACCACCTGGTGCCTCAAGGACAGACAGGTTTAACGGGACACAAGCTGAGTGGGCCTTTTGATTTCCTGGGTGCATTTAGTCTTTTGACCACTGAGAAAGATCATGCCAGTGGCCCCAACGCCTCCAGACCACTTCAGATGCGTCCTCTCTTAACTCCAC